CATTGATGCACTTGGGGAGCAAAGGCCCTAGCTACTGTAGTTCAAACTGTGGAAAACGTTAATGCTGGTTCTGATAGAAAGGTGTCAGAACACACAGTGCATCACAGTTTGTAGCGTAGGGCTGCGTAGCTGCAGAACGGTCAACGTGCCCATGCTAACCCCTGGCCACTGCCGAAAGCACCTACAATGAGAATGTGAGCATCAGAACTGGACCACGGAGCAACGGAAGAAGATGGCCTGGTCTGATGAATCATTTGTTCTCTTATACCTTATGTGGCCTCTTTCAGCAGGATAATGCGCCATGCCACAAAGCAAAAATGGTTTAGGAATGGTTTAAGGAACACAACAATGAGTTCAAGGTGTTGACTTGGCCTCCAAATTCCCCAGATCTCAATCCAATTGAGCATCTGTGGGATGTGCTGGACAAGTCCCCACCATCAGTTAGAAAAAACAAATAGTATTTTTTTTTCTAGATTTTGGTACAAAAATGTGAAGTTTTGATACTACTTGGTACTGGCTTATTTTGGTTACTGGCTGGGTCCTGATATCCAGCCCGAGTTGGAGGTCACCATTTAAGATTTCCCATTTTCCTGGAAGGTGAAATATCAGATTTATTACACCTTTAACCAAAGAAAAGCACAATGCTTTGCATATTGGATGTATTTTTCCAAGCTAGTTGGTAGTAGGTTGTTGATAATGAGAGTTCATTCTTGATATTAAGATTATTTTGTGAATCTTAGGTGAGTGTTTTTGCTTGCTAACATTAGCTAATTAACAGTAAACACAGAGTGCAGCTTAGACTGATCGGAATCGGAATCGGAATCTCATTAGTTTTGCAGGCATTTGGCCATAAACCAAAGTATTGGACAAACTGAAATTTTGACCCAGTGATGGTAGAGCAATAGGAAAATCAGGCGATCACCAAAATCATTCAGATTTTGGGAGAGGGAGATGATCAGTTTCAGGACAATCCATCCAATAGTTATTTATTTCATTCTGGACCAAAATGGAGGACCAACAGACCAATCAACTGACAGACTGATATTGCCATCCATATAGCCTTACCGCTGACATGACTGAAAAGGTTGTAGGCTTGAAGCTGTGTGAAGGGTTAGGGTTATTGTTGACTTACAGTATGAAGGGGCAAAGGGCTGAGATGTAGAGTTGTATACTAACAATATGCCAAAGACAACACTTCTTTCCTTTGATAACAGCTGTGCTGCACACAGCAGCCATGAACGTTTACTAGAAAAGACTCTGGGTGACATATTGGCGAGTCCCCCGCTGATGTTAAATGGTAACCTCTGACAGTCGGGGCTCCAGCTGAAGGCTTTCACATCCAGGCTTTTAAGCTTTGTTACCTTAGGGACTAACCGGCCTGCAGTGCTTTAGGGCTCTGAACGGTATGCTGGACAAAAGAGCCACTGAAGTTTCATCATGAAACGATACAAGAGACAGATTCTGTCAGTCCTAATGACTTACAGAAGGAACAGAGGCAGAGGTTTTGTCAGTTCTAATGACTTAGAGAAAAATACAGAGATGGGTTTTTTTAGCACTAATAACTTGCAGAAAACGAGAGAGGAGGGATGGAGGGAGAGTGACTGAGAGGGAAAACAATGAAAGATCATAGAAGGAAGGGGGATAGCAGCAAGGGAGAGTGAGGATGCATTTTTTTGTCAGTTGTAATGACTTCCAGGGAATGTATTGACAATAAAATAGAGAAATAGGAACAGAGATCAAGAGAGAAAAATGGAAAAAGGAGGACAGAAAGAGCTAGATAGATGAAAAGATGAGTTTTCTACTGTAGGCGTTTGGCAGAGTCACTACATGTCCTAGCTAAGCATGTCATGCTTTGTATTTTTACAATATGTTAGGGTACTAATATATTGCATCCTAATACCAATTTTAGGTAAAATGTTTATTTCAATCTAAAATTCATTGGATGTTTTTTTATTTTTATTATTTTGTCCTGAAATAAAACAGGTTCAGCCAATCCCAAGTGACGTCATACATGGCGATGCACAATGACAAAATGGCAGACCTTATTTTTAACATCACAGAGCAGCAGGCACTCTTTGATAAAGTTCACATAAACCACACCAGATACTGGCACTCTGGACCCAGTTAGCGGTAACATGAGAACACATGTTCTTATAATTAGATGCTGTCAGTCCACAAGTGCACAGGTGCTGCACAGGTGTCCACGCAGCCCAAAGCGTTCGACAGGAAATAGTTTAGACCTATTTACATGATCAAAATTGGACCAGCTGTCAGCCTAGCTGTATATACTGACTGACAGCATGTTTAGTTTGCTAGCATAGCATTAGCATACCTGCTCCCTGAAGGCTGTAACATTATGCTCTGTAACTTATCATCATCGGCGATGCCATGTCATCTACATTTTTTCGTTCGTTCGAGTTAATCCCTCCTGCGGTGAAAAAGAAATATACAATAAAATCCCATAAAGGGATCATGTATCAAGTTATCGCTCGATGAAGCAGCCATGAGACTGAGCTCTCTCTTCGTCTAACACGATCAGCGTCATCATTTTCTATCGGTTTTTCGTCCATATGTTGCCCATTCCATTAGTATCTCAAGGCGTTTAATAATGTAATAAACTTCCCCCACGTCAAAAACATAAAACTGGGGTATCGAACAGACTAACTTGTGAAGCCTGGTTTGTGTGCGGTTTGTGTGTTTACAAAGTCTTCTGACTTCTGACTACGGCCATTGAAGGGCAAAGAGAATTCACACTGTGTGACAGAAACAGCCCTACTGGTTAACTCGACATCCAGCTCGGCCTCCCTGCCTTTTTACTCAGCAGCTCAGAGGAAAATATGGATTCATAAACCCTGAGAACTCCATTCACCTTTTGTATTTTTTTAACCTACATATGTCTTTCTGCTGCCGCTGTTGTTGATTCTGCTAATTATAATGATTGATTTGTTGCTCAGTTTGTTTCTCACAACACTTTGGTCATTTATTCATCACAGAAAGAGCAGTTCATATAAATGTCTTGTTTACATTTCTGCATGTAGATTAGATTAGATTAGATTAGATTAGATTAGATTCTACTTTATTGTCATTGCACAAAGTAAAAGTACTAAGACAATGAAATGCAGTTAAGCATCTAACCAGAAGTGCAAAAAGCAGTAAAGTGCAGAGTAATGTACATATGTACAGGGTACAAGTTTGGGCTCATATACATATAAGTTGGCTGTATTCTTAATTGAGTGTTTTGCACTTTGTATGTCAACGCAACATTTTGTGCTTAAAGGGAGAAATGTGGCTCTTTCATTGAAGAGTTTTGCATATCAAACCTCCATTGTGAAAACTGAGCCAAAGCACTTGTAAATTGTTGTAATGTATTATAAAGTACAGGTCTTTGTGTACATGGCTGACAAAAACAAGAACCCTCATCAACTAACAATTATCTTCATTATTAATCTTTTATATTTTGCAGGTACAGATCACATCGTTTAAAATTGTTGTGCAACTTATCATGGCACAATCTGGAATTATTTATTTATAGCATGTTAGCATTGTCATTGTCATTATTCATAGAAATTTCAACATAATACACTTATGTACTGACCATCCATTATAGTATACATGTTAGAGCATCCTGATCTCAAAACTGCAATAGCTTCATTGGGAGAGGTAATAGATGATCTGCCTGCCACTAAACTACTGCTGTTGGAAAATGAATAATAGTTTCTCTTAAACTCAACTGTTTCATATTCTATTATGAATGTTATTATTGAGCCACATTGTATTAAATTGTTTTTTTTTTAGCTTTTATTATCAACTCAAAGCTGAAGTGTACGCAATATAGGTCACACAAAGGTGTTAGCACATCACATTAATTAATATGTATCTGTTACATTTTATAATTGAATAATGTAATTAATAGATTTCCATATATCATTAGTACTAATGTGTACTACCATTTGCTCTAAACATTTATCTTTGTTAATTCATCATTATATCATTATACCTGACAAACATGAGTACATTAACACTGTCTTTAAAAGCATGTTGCCATGTTGATCTTAGCATTTAGCTCAAAGCATTTCTGCGCCCAAGTACAGCCTCAAAGGGCCGCTACAGTCGCTGTAGGCGGTCTTGTTTTAGGAGATTGAAATCATTACAAAAATGGAGTGGCTTTCTCTTTGCACAGAGAACCACAAAACGACTTTGCATTTGGTCCTTCTGCAGAGCTCCTTGATGGTGCACCATGGTCACTGGTGCTCTTCCGAGATCTAGGGGTAGAAGAGCGCCGTGGGCTGCTCTTTCGAGATCTAGAGCGTCGTGGGCTGCTCTTTCGAGATCTAGAGCGTTGTGGGCTGCTCTTTCGAGATTTACGGGTAGAAGAGCGCCGTGAGGAGCTCTTCCGAGATCTAGAGCGTCGTGGGGAGCTCTTCCGAGATCTAGAGCGTCGTGGGGTGCTCTTTCGAGATTTACGGGTAGAAGAACGCCGTGAGGAGCTCTTTCGAGATCTAGGGGTAGAAGAGCGTCTTGGGGTGCTCTTTCGAGATCTACGGTTACCAGGGGGCGCTGACGTGCCTTTCCGACGTCGTTCTGGGGTTAGGGTTCTGCGTTCAGTGTTCTGCCGGAGTTGTCTGTTGTAAGTCTCTAAGGTCATCTCACAGTGCTCACCATAGTGTGGGTACTGGCACTCACACATTGCTATCAAGGTGCCTGGCACAACAACACACTCACCATTTTGGCTACATTTCTTTTTGGAGCAGGGATCTACTCCCATTATCTCTTCATCACTTTTAATAAAGATGATAAACTTCCCAAAAATTGTCCCGCATTTCCCCGTAAAGACGTGGGGTGTTAGCGACGACTGGCCTTTGAGGCTGACAGAGCTTTCTGGGAGTGCAGAGTCCTCATCATTCGGCGCTTCCACTGTATTGGTGGAAGTATGACTGCTTTTTTTGTAAGCATGCACTGCTGTGTATATCTGAGACAAGCTTTTTCCAAAAACAGTTTCCTGACATTCCATTAGTTTCTGTGTTACATCTAAACACATTATCACCCCCTGAGGTAAGCACCTTTTAATGGCTTCTATAACAGTAGCAGTCTTGGTGTGAGCTCCTTTCACCTGCTTGGCCACAGCCACTGTAACTGTTCCTCTCTGTACCTCAGTAAACCCTGACAAATCATGTCTTTTTAGTAATTTTGGCTTATGCCTTGAGTTTTGGGTTGTAAATGCAACAACCATCCAGTCATACCTGTCATATGTTTTTACCAAAAATGCCCTGATATTGTCTGCTATTTCTTGATGTTTTTGGGTATCATCAATGCGCTCAAAAATGTCCTTTTCAATATAAGCAGCACTGTCAGATATACATCGCTTGTGCGATGTGATTAAAGCTGAGGCAGACTCAGATGCAATTTTATGGGCGGTATCAACCCTGGCATTATTGTCTTTGCCTTTGAATTCGTAGTACTTCTCATTGAGCACGTTGCCTTTACACATAAGTTTATTCAAATACAAAAACTGGGCTTTAATATCTTTTTCATGACATCTTAATCTATCAGCCAGGAGGTCTCCAAGGTTTTGTGTTACAGATGGGGATTTAGCTGTTAGGAATTGGTGCAAGACCAAAGTGCTGTCTGCATACTGGCTGTAAAATGTAAAGAAATCAGTTTTGAGTGCCTCATTTCCTGTGCTAGCACGCACTAGCTCAGTGTATTTAATCCAGGCTTTCTCTATGTTGTTCACTGGCATTTGGTATGCACCAGCTGCCCAGGCAGCCCATTTCAATTCTGCGCTAAAGGTGTCAAGCTTAATGGTGAGAGCTTTAAGGTTAGAGTTGACAGTGTCCAGTGGGTCTTCATTAGGCGTTACCAGCAGCAGGGTTTTGAGTGCTCCAGCGATGGGTGCTCCAGCTACTGGCACTGGTTCTATGCTAGCAATAAGGACTCCTCCAATCCCCCTAAAATTTTTCTTTAACCAACTGCCAAGCTTTTTAACCATGTTCGCATGCTGATTGGGATGCGGTTGTTGTTCCAGTTCCTCCTCGTCATGAGGAGTGTCGGGTGGAGCACTTAAGACAGGGAGGCAGGAGGACATCAATAGCAGGAACAGCAGGCCTGGAGATGACATGACTGACACACACACACACACACACACACATATAATATGACAATCACTTTAGTCACTTTAATACTCACAGCAGAACAGTTCATGAAAAAGACCCAACTCAGTGTCTTTAAACCACAAAAGTGTGTAATTCCACTATTCTGTTAGCCTGATCTGTATCTACAGTATGTGCTGGATGGATGTTCCAACATTGGTAACTTGAGAGCTGGTTATTCAATGTATTTCACTGGGTGAAAGTCAAAGGCACAACAACCATGAATAGGATTACGTGAATTTGGTAGCTTCTTGCACCAAAAACCTTACTCTTTGTATTAATTATAATAATAAATGCAAAACAAGCCTCACCTGCAGACCTTACACTCAAACACTGAATATTTCTGAACATTTTGTCAATGTACATGAGATATGTCGACAGACCTGGAAGGAGGCTTGGAGAGTGGATCTGCCCTTGGTATGGATGCTCGGGAAGCTGATGGGTCAGTGCGGCGTTCTGCCCTTGGATCGGTCGGTGAGTAGGATTTGGTTGGTCTGTCTGGAGCTGAATGGAGTCTTGGAGAAAGTTTCAGATCTGCAGCCTTAACACTGGTTAGTTTTATAAAAAGCTGACCAGGTCCGCCTACTTGATGGTCAAGCAATGTTTTATCCATTTTTGGTCTGACAGTTGAAAAGGGGTGGCTTCACCTTGCAGAGGGGAACAACACAAGGGAAACTGGTGACCTGAGAGCATCCTGGTTGCTTATAATATAGGGAAAAATAAAATGATGTCTGGATTAAACAAAACACAACAACAGGACACCAAATATACTGTCTAAGATGGCATTTCTTCTCTATGAAAGGATTATGTAATAATAGCAGCAGGTCAACAGGATTGTTTCTCCTATGGGTTATAAAGAGTATCTTATGGTTCAGTTTAGCGGCTAAATGTTTGTATTAAAGTTAAATTCAGGTTTTGGCGTTGGTTGAAATATTAAAAGTTCCCTCTGTGCAGAATGCAAATTGTATCAGGGGGAGTTGATGATAAGACTGTCAGCACGGTCCATTGTCATTTCTTTAATACTTAACTTATTTAACAAAAGAAATTAAGCAAAATTTTAAGATTTCTTTCCGAATCTATGAAAGCAATCAAATGGGGACCGGGATTTTCTTATTATTAAAAAAATGTTTGTAAGGTACCACAGTTCATACAGAAACTGTCCATTAAAATGTCCTGCGATGAGTTAATTTTTGGTACTTTATACTAAAGTAATTTATATTTCCATGTACTGTGTCAATAGCATTTGTTTAGTATTTTTGTAACTGTTGGCCATGTGAAAAGGGAAGCTTTACTTCTGCAGTGGTGCATGAGGTCAGTGATATTACACTTAATATTACACTAGATAGTTCATGCACTCCACAAAGTAATGTGCATTTTATAAGTCTTTGTTCACGTGTTAGTGAAGGAGTCCAAGGAGCCCTTCTGTATGTGTGAGGGAAAGATTAGAAGTGAAAATTGTTAATAGATGAAGGTAAACGACATGAAAAAGGGACAAATGGATTTTGGCAAATGGAAAACGGCCTGAAAGGAATAGTTCAATTGTATTGCTTGACTTGTCATTACAGGACAAATACAGGTAATTATATTATTGGTGGCTGTGTTCCATTTAGCTCTCTGCTGTGAGAAAGGTCTATTAAATAGTTGGTCTAAATTATGAAAAAATTGCAACTCAGATTTGGTTGTTCTGACATGTCACTGTATTAAAAGACATGTCACTATATTTGAGAGTGATGGTCTTTTATGAATGGAAAATGAGCTGCAAAAAATGATTTATTATTTTTTTTATATATATATATACATATACATATATATTACTGGTAGTAGCAGTTGCATTTTCCCCTTTGCAATTTAGTTTGCCAAAAAAGGCTAAATGTGAATGTTTATGCACACATACAAGACAGTGTGGCAGCTGTCTTAATACTAAGTTTGTGTAATATGTTTAATATCTATGAACACATATAAATGCGTAAACTGCATTGAAATTACTTGAAACCAATGCAGTCAATCTTTACGAGTTTTCTTGATTCTGCCTTATAAAACATCAGAGGAACTTCATGGTTCAAGTAGGTGAGCCTCACAAAGATGTAGAATTTGTTTTTCCAAAAAAAAAAAAACATATTGAAGTTTATATTATCCAAGTCCTAAATATATAATCACTATAGACAAATTAGAACAAATTATGTGACACACAAAAAGCTGCACACACAAAGAACAAAAAGCAGAACTGCTGTTACCTTCTGAACTGTGAAATGTTAACCTGTCTGGTGCAAGGCAGGAAACAACAGCTGCAAGGCTCCTCAAAGCAGAACTGATGAAGCATTTACTGGCTCCTGAAATACCTCAGAAACCCAGCAAAGCTCTGCAGAAGACTTTCTGCAATTTGTTGACTGGTTTTGTAATATCACTAGGGCCTTCTGAAATGCAACGGTATTAAATCAGCTAATCTATAAAGACATTACAGATCAATTACATGTTATAACTAAACCTAGTAGGGCTGCATCCCATTTTCATTATCAATTAATCCGTCAGTTATTACCTCTATTAAGTGTTTGGTCCATAAAACATAAAAAAAAACATCAGTTTCCTAGAGCCAGATCAGTCTTTTGTCCAACCGAGAGTCCAAAACACAAAGGTATTCAATTTACTGTTAAGACAAATGATCAATAATCAAAATAGTTGCATTATGTTGATTGACTAACCGATTATTCGACTAATTGTTGCAGCTCTAAAAGAGAATAACACAATCAAACTACCTGACAAAGATGTCACACCAAGTTGTACACCAAGTCCTCGGAGACTCCAAGACAATACTTACCCTGTTTAATTTTACAGGTCTTTAAACTCTGTATTATTACTAGAATGAAATCGCATTTATTAGCTGGTTTAGTGTAGTTTATGGTTATATTATTATTAAAGCATTATATTATACAAATAACTAGCATCCTTATCAGCTAATAATTTGAATCACCCATTGTATGTTACTTAAGCACAGAGCCCTTTCATCATCCAGGTTTTGTACGACACTGTGCAACTGATCAAATGTGCAATCTTAATTCCCAATTTCAGAGTAGTACTCAACTGCAGCGTGACTAAACAAATAACACACAAACATTTGTTAATCCATTTTTAATAGATTATACAATCAAAAATAAGGAAACAAGAGATAACTGTCCATAACTCAGGATTTCAGTAATGCTGAATACTATCCCAGATGCTTTCCAACGTAGTGTTACAATGGCAATAATTCATACAGTCTTCGCTCAGAGTTGACAGACATGGGACTAGGTCAGTTGTTGTTCACAGTTTATATCTCAGAATTATTCAGGTAAAGTTATATTTTGGCATGCACAATTTTTTATTCCCCTGAAATTAACACTCTGGCAATTCCGATACACATAATACCCCATTGCCTTTTGCTGTTCCTTCACTGGGTCTCTTTGCAGTGCCATGGCTGTTGCATAGGACATTAAACACCATATAATAAAAGTGTCACATGTCATTCCCCATATAAAATGTGGATACTGTGACAAAGTTGCAAGGAAATCTTGGAAACTTGGACAAGCGGTTTATTATTTTTTTTGGCCACTGTCCATGTAGTGTTACAGATTTGCAGGTATTTTTTTTAACTCGTGGCTAAGTGTTATTTTAATGCATGGATTTGTAAACCCAAGTAGAACTCAAGTTGTACAGAATACAAAAAACAAACAGAAAAACTTGAACATAAGCTTTTTCTTCGTTTTTTTTTTTTCAATAAAACTAATTTCAACATTAGTAATCACTTCTTTAAAAAATTACATTAAATTTGCACTTAGATAAAAAATAAAAATATCAAGTAAAATATGTAACACCCCACTGCAAAAAGTGTCAGAGGGGGAAAAAAAACTGCTGTTGGCCAACAGATCAGACCTGGGTTGTAGAACGGCTGCTGTTGCTGAGGCACCTTTATATATCAGCCGCACAAACAGTCTGACAATAACTACTCTGCATTATTTTGCATTATGTTAAATGAGTTAAATAGCTGCATAAATAAATCTGAATCGGATAGACGGTAGGAAAAAATAAAATGTTTGGTACCAATATAAACCAATATTTCATTTTCGCAGATCATTTTCAATTGCAGCTTACGTGCCTCTCTGGGTCTGAGGGGAAATACACGTTTAACATCTTTCCCTGATTTTCATATAGAGACGTTTATATTGGAGTATATTCTCTGACTAAATGAAAATGTTAAGCCAAAATGAAATATTATATATTTTTAAGGACTCTGGGTTAAGGCGCAGAAAAGCTATCTTTTACTTGTTTCTTGCATTAGGAGACACATAGAATACATACAATGAGAACAAAGGAAAAGTACCAGTTTAGTTTTAAAAGCGTGTAGTGCATATAGTCTCTACATAGACAATCTTCTTTTATAGGTTTATATTTAATGACCTTAACTGCAACTAATTAGGCTGAAATCTACCAAAGTGCATGATGCATAATTTGTATTTTATGTAGACTGTCATGGTCCATTATCTGTTTGTTAGTTATCTCCATGTTAGTTTTAGAGTAAGGAGGACATTGTTTTGTTAGGCCTCAGTGTTCTTCAGTTATAAACAACCTCAAGTTATTTTTAGCAGACATGTTTCAAAGTAAAGCAATTAGTTAATTCGACTTAAGATTAAAAAGGCATCAAATAGAAATAAGACCTTGCATAAGGAGAGTTGATAAATATAACATATTGCTGCATGAGAGATTGTGATGATCATTTGATGTGGCTCACTCTTCCGAGCGTAGTTCCACAAAGTAGAATATCACAGATGGGATTTCGGTCAACAAACCCAGTTGGTTTAAATGCATGCAACACTGTATCTTCTAAAATACGACAGTAAACCAACTCTTGCCTGACGTCAGCTTTATGTACAGACAACTACTTCTCAGTTTATGTTGAAAGCTCATGTTTGTGTTTTTATCCAACATGCCTGTCTTTAAAAATTTAATTCTTTTATTATCTGTTTAGAGCTGTAAAATCAAGTCATATTCAGTAATGCCGTAGCTCCCCTATCTTACTTTTCCTAATTAATATTCTAATGAATTGTACATCAGTGTGATACCACGGGCTCAGAGATAAGGTTTTCATGATGGGCTATTTCCATTTGGAAAAGTAGTGTGTTCACTGTTGCAGACCAAGCTTACAGTTTAAGAAAACTCAATGGGGTGGATTTTTAAAAGAACACAAGTATATCTTAATACCTGTTAGCAGTAGGCAGCTCTTGACTTCATTCAAAAGTAGTGAAATAAATCCACTGTTTTGATTCATGTTTAGAAATGCACTTGCAGCAGCATTCTCTATCACGATAGAGTTTAAAAACAGTGCGTACATTATACGTCTGCATAACTAAATAATTGCATGTTTGAGATTTAAGCTGTTTATTACTAAAATAAAAACACAAACCTAATCCAGCCAAATTTCAAACTGTGTATCCACTATAAAATGTAAATGTTGTTTACATTGGTTTTTTCATGTGGTAAATAAGCAGCATATACTATAGTCCATCCTGTGGTTCTTGTGCTCTTTTAAAAATCCTGGAAATAGCAGAAATGTTGTGATATTTCCCTTTACGAACAGAAGCAATGTCCTTATTAAGCGTTTGACTTTTAAATTTGTTGGCTTAAATTAGGATTTGTGTAACAACATGAACACTAATAGGCTTTGGGTGAAAAAGTACTAAGTAGCTGACACGAAAATGTCTTCACGAAAGTGCCAAATGATTCCATTCAGTTAGTTAATAGCAGTCACAGACTTTAAGTTGGCTGGGAGATATTACCCAACTATCTTCCCCACAATATAGTAACAAGGAAATAAATTCATATAATACAAAAAGAAACTCTTTGTGGCTTGGTGTGCATAGCATATATACCGAAGGCATGACTTTCTCTGCTTTATAACAGGATTTAGTGTCATATACTGTTAGTTATATCTTGGGTCTCCACCCATGTATGAACTGCATGAGTTTCTTCACCTGCAGTTTGCTTAGCTTGAAGTCTTCTGACAAAATCTCCTCAGTGAGCTGCAGGAGTAAATTCCCATCAATCTTCTCAGACACAAAAAGAGAAACTATGTCGTCTGGCAGGCCAATAAACCTTAGAGATTTGGACACCTCTTCAATAGAAAGACCAGCCAGGTTGGACGGGGGCTGCCACTGTGCAGTGGGAGAAAAGGACGGACAGTTAGGAGTTAATGAGTTAGAGATTGAACATATCTCTTTTGTGCCCTGCTCGTGTTGCGTAAGTGAGCAGTTTGAAGTTTCCTGCTCGCTGTCACAGACTGACCCTGGCGGTGAATCTGTGCACGTCTTTGCTGCATTTGTTTTTGGTGTTCTCGGTGGTAAGATGGGGCAAGAGAGGCTCTGCTTAGTGTTGGATTCTTCTATGGGCTTGTCTCTGTACATTTCTGAATTGAAACTTGAAGATTTGATGCAAAACTGACTCAGAGAAGCTTTCTGCAAACTGAAGTCCTTACTGCAGTGAGCGTGCTCTCGGCCATCAAAGTCCACAAGGCTGGATGTACAGGTTTTTGGGGTGCTTGGGGATCTCTTTCTGGGGTAACTGTAGTAGCTTCGACAGCCGGCTGGCAGAAATTCATCCATGCAGTGCGATTCTCCACTGAAGTTGTTTGGCCAAGACAACCTGGACGACATCCCATCTGATGGCAGGCTACCACTGGGCAATGTAGCATTTGGCTCAGTGCTGTTGGACTTACCCCAGTTACACGGGTAGCACACATGCTCTTGTGGGTCCGCCGCCTCTTGCTCACATGCTCCACTACTGGTGGAAGAATATAAGATTAATTTAGGGTATAAGAGCAAACCTCATGCAGACCTCATCAGATGATAGAAATATGTAACATTTTAAACAAAACTTGGTATTTTACAGCTTTTACAGACGTGTAAAGAAAAGAAAGTGGGTTAAGGAGAAACTGAAATGACCTGAGGCATTAAGTCTGCACTAAAATGTGTCTTAGACAGATTAAATACTTAAAGGACAGTTGAAAAAATTCCAAAATAAGAGTGGGTTTTGAAGGGCAGTTGTACAAAAGCTGAAAAAATACGATACTAGATCTATGCAATCTCAGTATAAATTTTAAATTGGTTCCAATTCTTACATGTTGTGGAGACCAGAAGAATAATAAGAGAGGGTTGGACTTGGAGACCGAGTCTCTTGCTGCCGTGGCTTAGACAGGATGGGCACTGACGGCATCTGCTTTAAACTTCGTGGAGGAATTGGTGGGGCATTCAAGAGACGACATTCTTCCTTCACCTGGCAAAGAAATGAACTGACATTGAAACTGACAGCAAAACAAGAGTGTTGCATGCATGTCTGATACTATATATTATCTACAATAGTCATTCAGAGTATTTACATTGACAAATTATCGTTCTACATAGTAGTTTTTATTGTTGGTGCAGTCTGCCATTGCAGCATTGGACTCAGTTGGTCTGAGGGATTCACAGGAATGCATGAAATCAGTGCAATCTTGGCATTCATTCTGTTTACTGTTACTCCTTACAACGAGCTGTAGTAACGGAGCGTCCTATAGCCGCAGCTTCACATTAAAAGCTTTCAACTGGCAAAACTAGGGGTGACTTTTATTGTGAATCAGCCACAAGATTTGTATTTGCCACCACGGCTGGTGCTAACAGTGACCTTACATCAAAAATGCATCTTACAGAAGTAGATTCCAGAGTAGTGGAATAAGAGGAAACAGCCACAGTTAGCTGTTAAATGAAGAGAACTCAGCAAGGTAAGCAACTTTACTCTGCCCTGCTGTTGTGTGGAAAACGGCTCACTCTGTGTGTTGAAATATGAATCATAGTTGCAACTATTATTGAATGACTTCTTTATTAAAACAATGCTAACTCCTTTGGTTGCGCTGTAAACTGATACTCCGGATGTTCTTGTGGTATTTCTGACAAAGACGCTGCTCAAGGAGTGTTTGCTGTAGTATTAAACTGTACTTGCTGTTACCGCAGTAACCATGGGTGTTTCCAAATCAACCAGGACTGAAATCTTAAGGATTATAACTTTAAGTAGAAAAGATTATACTCACAGCTTCAGACTTGGGTGGGACCGGTGGTGGAGTAAGAGACACATCTGAACTGGTTACAGCACCAAGAGGACAAGTGACGGGGTAAGACGGGGCTGCTGTCGGACCACAGCCGTTGTTGAGGCCTCGAATTCCCTCACTTATTGAAGGTTTCGGGATCTGACTTCTCAAGTGATCCAACCACAGCTCCTCATAGGGAACGTCCGACTTGCTGAGGGATGGTAGTTGGTTTGTGCTTTCCAACAGCTCGGGGGAAAAGTGTTCACTTTCCCCCGAGTCTGACGGGACGCTATCAGAGGGCAGAAGAGCCCAATCTCCACATAGCGTCATACAGCCCTGCAAATTGACCTCGCTGTTACCGTGCAGGTTGCTGCCATACACACACACAGACAGTCGGTGGAAGGACTGGGTGAGTTCATCACGGGCGTAAGTTAAGGAGCTGGGAATCTGCATGTGGTTGTGACACCCGTTGGAGCTGCTGCTGCTGCCGCCGCTGCCTCCGCTGCAGCTACCGTTGCCACTGCTTTTCTTCGGGCTCTTACCATCGTCGTTCCAGTCTGTCCGCACATCCCTGACGGCACGAGAATAGTCGTCTATGTCAAACTGCTCCTGGCAGAAGGAGAACCAGCGATGTACCATGGTATCCAGCCACAGCTCTCCTTGCAGCAGTTCCTCTGGAATAATAAATCTCGGCATGGCCATGTGAAAGGGAAAATGGATGGGTATAATTTTGTTGCTCCGCAGAATGCAGCACACGACCACTGTTTTCGTCTGAATGTTGACCAATTTGTAGCGATGACCCTCGCGGATGAGGTGGAGGTCGTGCTGGTTGCGGGGTGGACTGCTGGGTACTGTGACATTGACGGGTAGACGGGTTTTCTCCACAATGTTCCTGATGGTGTGTTCACCGTCCTGCATCTGAAGCTCCAGTGGACTACAGGTGCTGAACCTGCCTTTGCACTGGAAAGGCAGGCTGATGCTCTCATTGGTGCGATGGTTCATGCAGATCAAGCAAGGCATCTTGCCTCGACCGATCTTACTGATGGAGTTCAGCTTCCCAATCTTCTTGAAAATGGTGTTGAACCTGGATTTTTCTTTGGAGGTCTTGGCGTACAGGATCTCAGCCTGGCCCATTAATGTCAGTTCATCACCGGTGCTTAGTGTAATGTTGTAAACTTCAGTGTCTTCATTACATTCCCCTGAAGCCATCTGTAAAAACACATGACACATGGGAAAGTGCTGATGAAATTAGGGAGAACAAAAAGAAAACTGATCCCAACAATTACCTTGCAATAATTTAACATGTACAGTTAGTTATACACAGTTTACAATATTTTTGCACACCTTACTAAATATAGTGTATATTTTTTCATTATAGTCTTTATAGTTTTTGTTATGTCTTTATAATTTTGTATTGTATTTTAACACTTCTGTAGTTTTTGCACTACATTTCCCCCTGTGCTGCTGTGTCAAACTTGAATTTCTCCCAGGGGGGGGGGGTTACTTCATACTTCTCAGAGTTCTAGAGAAGTAAATAACATCGTATTGATAGTCCACAAATAGAAGTCATAACACAAAACACAACATAATCCACAACCAATCCTAATAATGCCTTGAGCATATTAGATGTACCTTAACATTGAATGTAATTTCTTCCATGACGTATACCCGTTCAGGGAATGCTTTGGCCACCTCCTCCACGCTGTTGAAGTACTGCACAGGCTCCTTGACATCTCTGTCCTGCTCCAGTAGCTTAAACTGACCTAAAATAGGAAAATACATACAGTGTCAATGCAAATGACAGAGTTAAGCATGGGTTGTACTTTTCTGTTCAAGTATCAATAAAAATAGATTTGGGATAAGGGTACACATTGTTCCTACGATCTTTTGACATTATTACACCAAAACGCCTCTCAAAATGTCTTATGTATATTTAAGTGTTGCGGCACAGGTTCTGATCATCCTTTCTAGAAGCCCCAAATTCAAAGTTGTCAGCTGAAGTGGCTGACCTTTTTGGTTTTGACATACAGTATACAGAGATCTCATCTCATCTCATCCGCTTATATACAGAGAGAGAGAGCATCGTCACAAGACAATGTCAAGCAAATCCAGCATCAAGCATCCTGCAGATGATAGCTCACCTTCATAGTGCACTGGGATCTCTATTTTGGGCCCAATGACATAGTGTCCCTCCTCCAGACTGTGAGCAGTAATAGTCGTCCACTGACGGCAGGAATGAATCAAGAGGTAGTCATTGTCTCTGAGCCCTTCAACCAACTGACCTGCGGGAATGAAAACAACAAGCAAAACACTGATTAGACCTTACAATGCAGGTAACATTATAATTCTGCAAGGTGCAATAGACAAAAAAAAAATATCAACAACTGTCATGTAACATAAAATATTATGTCACTGTTGCATCATGGTGGAAAAACATTAGATTAATTTAAGGTATAAGAGCAAACATCATGCAGCCCTCATCATATGATATAAATATGGAACATTTGAGCCAAAAATCCCAAAAGATCTAAGTGGATTTTGAGGGGCAGTTGAACAGAAGAGGAAAAAACACCATATTAGGTCTATGAAATGTAAGTAGAAATGTTAAATGATTGCATCATGACACTTGCATCATGACTCCTGCAAAACAATAATTGGAGTTGTGACACACCTTGTCATTTATGGTATGAATTGGCCTGACTAGACGCACAGCATTGAAATGAGCTGATGTCCGTGGTTGAGACATATTTTCAATGACTATGCCAAACATTAAAGTAAGTATCCTGAGGAATGCTATTATTACTGTTACCTTTTTCATAGCACCAGTGAGCCTCACAGGCTGTAGCCAAGGCACTGGATTAGTCAACACACTCAGATCACTACCCTCCGTGGAGAATGACTAATGCCCTAATCCATACCTCTCTAAAACGCAAGCACTGACATTTAAAAATACAATGCACTCTGCAGGAGAGGCTTAGCAGAGTGCAATACACAAGGGGAAGATTGAAAACACAATTATAATTATTGCTGATATTTCATAATGGTTTACTTTCTCATTGTAACCATGATTATTATCAACAGGCTTGTGTTGGTACACAGCTGCCAGGGGAAACATCTGTTGTAGTACATGAATCAAATAAACTCCCTGATCAAATAATAATAATAGCACTGTTAAATGTAGTTTTGTTCTAGGTCCACATTTAACTTTACTGTGTTATCTTGTATTGTTTTGCTCGAGTGTGTCTTTCATTGGACCCAGGTTGAGGCCAAACATGTTTTTTCAGCCTTGACTTTACAACAAACTTGACTCATCCTGCCACAATCGTCCCTTGTGCCCTTTATAATGCCGTGCACACACAAACACCAGTCTTCTGATGCCTGCATGTGTTATTGCTGCTATGACAGTAGTTGTTTTTAACTTACTACCTTCACTCAGATGTCTGGAGGGTGACAGCAGAGAAGATACAGGGCATTCATGGACGAGATTCGCACGACATTGCCACCAAACACCAACTTTTTAATGTTAACTACACAATTTTGCAGAAAATTAACGAGACCAGATGAAACAAATCAACATCACAAATGTGTCTGTCAAACGGCTTCGCTGCTAACTAGCAGCTTAGCCACCAGCGTTAGCAAAAGAAAACTGAACCCAGCTAGTTAGTAGTGCCAGAAAGTTACTAACCGTTATCCAGCTTGACAATCTGAGGCATCCTGTAAGCACTGACAAGTTGATCTAATGGTAAGGACGTCGTGCTCCATGTAACATCCTTTAGATTATTGTACAACATTGTTCCAAGGTCCATTTTGTTAGCTTACATTAGCCCACTGGGGGGCTAGCAGTGTGTAAACACGGTCACAAAAGGCTACACTAAGCTAACCGACTAAATAATACATCTACAGCTTCATGTTTGGCACATTTCTCACGAATCGTCGCCTATGCCTACGTATCTTTAAGGTCCGTGGTCTGATAATGAAGCAGAGCCATGTTTGTTTAGCTAGCGACATCAAGGCAACAGCTACACGAGTGACGGAAATACGTATTTTGTTCTTTCGAAATAAGAGCAGTGTTTAGTTTGGGGTACACGACGTAGTGAGCAGGGTTGGACGCAAAACACTCATCAGACTTACTTGGTGAGATCGTTCAGTGTCTTTAGAATATAAAGTAAAATTGTGTTTGCTAATGGTTTCATTGGTTGTTCACAAACGATGTATTTTAAAAGTACCGAGCGGAAGTTGTAGTTTAGCAGCGTAAAGCGTGGCACTGATAGTGATAACTGCGGATAAGATGAATCAATAAGGCACAATAAACACGGCCTGTTCCAGTAAAACTTCACCTGGTGCTCCAGATATAAGGCTTGTAAATGATGATTTCAAAAAATTTAACTTAAGAGTGTATTTCATATGAAACTGTTAAAAACAGACTTAGAAGGGACTGATAATGTCCCTCTGAGGAAATAGTTAATGTACCCCATTTATGATCATTCATTTCAAGGGGGGGAAGTGATATAGAAAATTCTACCAACACACATACACACACTTAATTAAATTAATGCCAGATAATCACATGGGGGGGAAAAGCAACAACCATTGGGTCTTACAACCTGGTGGTGGTGCGGATATAAATGTACCAACAATGACAATCACACTTCCTGATCTCCCTGGTACAAATCAGAAGAGCTTCCTTAATTTGGTCTGTAGCTCAGTGTACTCCTAACCTGCCACTATGTCGTTTCTGGATACTCTGCGCCAGTGGGACGAAGCTGTGACTTATGTTGACAGACAAGATCTGTCAGAAGCACTCAGGATTTTCCTGTCTATCCAAGAACCAAACTCCAAAATCTGTTTTGACATTGGCTGTCTCCATCTTCTTAACCAAGAGCTAGATGCTGCTGAAAAGGTATGGCTAAACTTAATTAGTAAGAAGCAAACTAAAACATTGTACACAAATATCTATGGTATTTTGTAATCTTTCTCGTCAAAAAGTAAAACCTTGTTTAAAGCTGATAACTGAGATGAAATGTTGTGATATTTTGGATCCTGAAAGTGCAAGTCACTGTGAAAGAAGAAGTAGAGTTTACAGTTTCTCGTTTCTTCTAGAGGAAGTTACTGTGTTTTCTAATGTTTCTCAGGCATTTGATTGCAGCATACGCAAGGATGAGCATTTGGCTGTTGGCTTCTTTCAAAGAGGAATCACATTTTACAAAAAGCAGAGGCAAGACACACCAGTTATCTCCACAAAAGGGCCACATTCATATCTAACATTGTGATTTAAAAACATTGGTTGCTAGACACACTTTGCTTTTATTCTAATAAAAATTGACTCCCAATCACTACTAATATTTTTACAATCTGCATAGTTTATTACATTTATTGCAATAACTAACTGGATTATTTGTTTTCAAAGGTATGAGGAGAGTGTAGCTGATTTCCAGCGTTCCTTCAAAACACTGAGAGGCAACCAGCTGATAGATTACAAGGCACTGGGTCTCAGATACAAATTATATGCATGTGAGGTAAACATTTAAAAGCCTTTTATTTTTGTTATGCCTCCTTATTATGTAATTTATTTACAAATTATTATGCTACTTATATATATATTTTATACTACTGTTCTTCTATATCCTGTCGACTTCAGTTTAGAGATGTAAGATATATTAATTATGAAAACACTCTTTTTCTAATCTGCTCTAATGATTAATTTGATGTTAAAAACCAATCAATTAAAAAAACTGTTTGTTTTTATTTGTTGCTGTTGGTGAGTTAAGTACAATTTTACATATTTTCACTTCTTTCTAATTGAAAGAATTGTTTTCAATAAGTATGTCTGTATGAGGGATTAAAATAGTGACAAGCTTCTAATCAATGTTTCCTGCCACAGGTTCTCCACAATATGGCCCTGGCTGAGGCTCAGCTGGGTCACTGGGAAAAAGCCCAGGAAAACCTTGTGAAGGCTCTTGATTACAAGACAGATGCCAAGCTCAATATCATTGACAAAGCTCTGCAATCCACCCTGGTCTGTTAACATGTAGTCACCATTATTGAAAAAATCAGCTAGTGCATTTGAAACATATATATATATATATATATATATATTTGAGTGCTATCTGTTTTACATTGATATTGATCAAAATGATTCTGTTAGCAACATTAGCAATTGATTTAGAATTTACTTTCCTGTCAGAAATGTTTGATAAATGTTATCCTTTGCAATTCAATTTCACCAACAGAAACAGAAACTTTTTAAACTAGTCGAGTTCCCATCAAAAGTGCTCTTTAAACCAAATAAGCACTATGTTGCTGAGCTGGAGAAGAAGGACTACCTGGGCAAAGCGAAGGTAATACTTTATCTGATGACCCACCTTTGTTTTAGTGACAGTTTGTACGACATTAGTGTGATATGAACCGCATTAAACTGAATCCTGAGTACAGCTCAGTAAAATGTCAGCCAATCACTTAATCAGTGTTTCATCTTTATACAGCACTTGCTTTTCATACATAATACATTAGAGGTTACTCTGGAGAAAACACTGTAAATTTGACATAATTAACTTACATTTTTTTCTCTGTTATCTTCAGGTTGTTGCCTCCGTCGTTCCTCAGGATGATTTCTCTGGATTTGCCCCATTACAGCCACAGGTGACATATCGGCTCTTCTTTGGCAATAACAAACAATACAATGAGATGACAAAAAAATCAATGTGTCATTATTAGCTTATGTTACATTAGATCAAATATATATGGAAGATTTAAAAAAAATTAAAGAGGCATTAAATTATCCACAATCAACCGGTATTCGTAACGATGTATCATTTGATGTGTGTCACAAGCTTCATAATTAATGACTAAAGCTTTTAATGTAATACATCACTTTACCATGTCAAAAACATAATTATAAGACGATTGCTGCAATGCTGCAACTGCATCTGAAAGCGTTTTCAACACTACACCGCTTTGTGTTTTTATCTGGCAGGTTGAAGATGGTCCAACTCGTCCAAAAGAACCTGAGGTTCTAAGGTAGATGTAGTACAAACTTGATTCTCTCTAAACACACATTATATCTCGTTACAGTGTCAAAGTATTATTTGTTACCTAATACTTGGTAAGATTTTGTAATAATGATGGCTTTCCCACTGTCTGTGGAGAAAGTCCAAAAAGGAAAAATCAGTGTTGAATCGCTGTTAATGTAAACAAGAGAACAGCAGGATAGAAATGTACAATTACACAGTGCCAGCAGGTCTCTTGATGCCACGTGGATGTCTCATGTCTTCACAGGGCTTTAGAAGGAGAACCACACACCGTCCTGTTTGAGTTTGTTCCTGAGACCAGTGATGAGTTGGCTGTAGTGCCGGGCAATATTGTGTTTGTGCTGCAGAAGGGTGCTGACAACTGGGCATCTGTGATCTTCAATGAAAGAGTAAGAGCACTATGTGCAGAATCTGAACATCTGTGACCTCTATACCAGTGTGCATCTCTCAAGACCTGCAGCTGGCATAGAAAGCATTATTCATGTTAAGAGAATTACTGTCAACTGAGAGTATTCGTTATTGTCATTTAAATCATAGAGGGGACTTGTTCCTTACAATTACCTGGAACGTTTGGAGATCTCTTTGGCTTCTAAACAGAATGAGGTAAAGAACTGACTTATTTTCTAAGTATAGTTAAGGTTAATAAAATTAAACTTGATAAAATGGGGTATTTGTTTTGTAATACATTCCATATTTTTTCTGTATTCTAAATGGCATTATTTGGCTGTATTAAGCAGGGAATATCTAAGCCTCCAACTCGAGAACCACCGACCAGACCTGAAAGGAAACAAGGTAAACTTATCTGACACACTTTAAGCTAATTAAAATAACTACAGGCACCGTTCTCTGATTGGTGTTAAATACCATTGCATTTGACCAACTTTACCCATGTCATAAGAAATGCTGTAACACAAGTGAAAGTATTTGCAAATACAATTTGACCAATATAACTTAACCTTTTATATGTATTTAAGGTCTTACTGCTAGTAGCAGCAGCAGTGGAGAGACACAAGTCAAGGTATGCAGATTACAATGTGTCCAGTACTGCCTATGAATATGATAAACCTCTAAACAAAAAAGACGTGTCAACATGTGAAGTATTTAAGTGTTTTATGATGGATTTTCTTATGATTTAATTCCACCAATGTGTTCTTTCATTAATGCCAGGATGCACAGTCTACCGACAATTCATGTATTGTCAAAGTCCGATTCACATTCAACTTTGCTGTCTCAGTACCACCTGGATCTCCTTATGCAATACTGATCGATAAAATCAGTAAGAAACTGAATCTCCCTTCTAGGGCAATCACCTTGAGGTACGGTGCACATAAAAAATATCCAGTTTATATTGGTCTATTGTGTTACTGACAGAGTACCAAATTCAACCCTTTTGTTTGATCTAGTTTAAACTCTGAGGTAACTGGACAAAGTGTAATCAATGCCAACACAGAAATGGAAAGTGTGTGGAGTTGTGCCACTGGCAGGCGCATCACCCTGTGGTGTAACACCAAAGAGGTAAGAGGATCTATTTCTGTGTAATGTGGCCTCACAAAATACAGTTATTCTGGGTGATACTGCAGTTTTATAATACGGGTATTGGGATGACACCAATATTTATATATGGAACGTGCTTATTTTAGGATCTTCCTGATCAATGGTATTATAGTATTTCCCTAAGAATTTTATTTTCAGAGTTCTCTGCACATCTTGCAGCTGAATCAGTTGCTTCTCAGTACAAAGATAGTAAACTTCCACAGAAAAAAGGACCGGAGCAGATTTTCAGTCTTTAATTGTACAAACAGACTAACATTTTGACACTTTAGTGTCTTCAAACAGTCACACAGATGTGTTTCATGATGATCCTCAATCATGGTGGCCCTGCAGTCGAGCATAACAACTGTAGTACACCACTACACAACAGACAGACGATTTCAAGGACACTCAAAGGAGTTGAGCAGAAAATGACTGTGTGCGTTTTGTGTTTTTAGCAAACTGATGGAAAGCCAGAGGATGAGATTCACTTTGTGGCACTTCATTCTTATGAGTCATCAAATCCAGAGGATCTCAATTTTCAGCAAGGAGATACAATCACATTCATCTCTAGAGGTGAGAAACTTTTACTTTAGCCATATAGTGTATCCCAAATATTTAAATTATTGTGATTTGTCCAGGAAATATGATTAATTCATAATTTCTTCTTCTTTAGTTAACCAGGATTGGTTGGAGGGGCAATGCAATGGGAATACTGGTATATTTCCTGCATCCTTTGTGGAAGAAGTTCCTGTCAATGACCAGTAACAGAAAAGATACTAAAGCCAGTAATACAATGAAGTGACCAAATCAGAGAAGTGGTCAGGTATCCCCTACCAAAACCATTTTATAATCAATTAAATGTGAATAATCAGGGCCCACATATTCTTTACCAATATTATTGTAAAAGTGGACAAGTTGTAATGTTTGGACAAAATGATTGGTTATATTCTGTGATTCTAGCAAATACAAGCAATATACTTTTAATACCTGTAACTGAAGGCAGACATGATAAAATACTCTATTGGAGTCCTGTGAATTACTGGTAAATTATCATGAAGACGTTCCTTCCTCTTCATAGGCAATAGCTATGCCTCTCCTGCCCTTTCCTGCCTTTACCACAGGCGTCTCTCCCAACTTCTGTTCTAAGCCACGCCAGCTTCGTTCTGCCAGGAAAGATGCTGAAAAGAGAAAAGCACAAATGTGTAGTGTAAATACAAGGTGTTTATGTCTGTCCCAGACTGAACAAATGAAGTGGGTTTTTGCTGTTTTGAGAAAAATGCGAAATAAACGTATTGATGTATGGAAATGAAAAGCAAACAGTGTCTTATATGTAACATACCAGCTGAGTTAGCTACGGTCAGCGTCTGATTCCTGAGGACCACGGAAGAGCCACATGAGGACTCTGCCGGCTCACTGATCAACAGATTCTGGCTTCTCAGAGCTCCTGTGATTAAAGACACGTCGGTGTCATCGTCCTCCTCCTGCTGATCAGCCAAAGGCACATGACTCTGTCCACCTGGTGGAGATAAAAGGAAAAAATCAAACATAGCAATAGCCATGGATATTAGCCAATAGCCATAGCCTTTGGACCCTGCCCTTAACATCTCTAAATGTTGTCCCGGGTTGGTACAACTCTCTTCACTACTAGTGGTTAAAAAAGGAAAAATATGACTGTAAGATGGTAATCTACTAAAACATTTAAAATATATGTAGCCATATTAGAAGGGGAATTAGAAATTTGCAAATCTATGACAAACACAACCCAGCCATCTCTATTCTTAATAAACCCTACACAGAGGGACTAAATTATTATATAGGAAAACATGACATGTTTTTGGTAAATACACCATCTTTATGATATAAAGAGCCACATGTATTTAGTGTTTCTCAAAACTGATATATTTGTTCAATAAGCTAGTTGACTGATGGGAAGAAAAAAGCCCTGAAACACACAACCTTGGGCAGACAAAAGCGATCATTTGCGACTATTTGATCCTTTTTTAATGAATCCTGGCTGAAAAATACATTTGGGATGGAATATGGAGTATTTCCCCCTTCAAAACTTTTCCCACCTTTAGTTTTCATATAGTCCATTAACATAAAAAAAAGTTGAGAAGAGTTGATTTATGAATTTCGGATGTGAATAAATTCTTAATCTAACCTGGAAGGAGATGTCGAAAGTCTGTGACATATTCCTCTGACCACTCCCTCTTCTTGTTGCAGGCCACCTCCATCTCAAATGGCGTTACAACGGGTTTATAGAACTCACTTGAGTCCAGCAGGGAGTTCTCGGGACACGCAATTAACACAAAAATGTCAATTTCAAGAAAGTTTGCTAGTTTGGGCACGTTCAGTTTCCCCATGGCGAACATATAGCTCTTCTTTCCAGCTCTGCGGATGGTCTCCTTCAACTGCTGGATGATGGTGAGGTAGTCAGCCATCCCGAGCGTGCCGACCAGGATGCCAACCACATTGGCATCTTTGGCCCTTTCTATGGCATAATATCGCTTCATCAGTGCACGGTTGATACTCACTGACTCAATCCTCCCAATCATTGTTATGGGGTCAAAAGAACAAAATGAGCAGTGATTCCAAGTCATCATGAAGTTTCTCAGGGTTGCTCCCTCTTGGCCTACGTAGAACATACTGTAATCCATGATGCTTAAACCGCTTTTCAATGCGAACTGCCTCCCAAACTGACGGATAACCTGGTTGTTGTCTCGCTCTGACAGACAGGTGTCATCATGTTGTCTTTTAATCCAGCCGTGACTGTAACACTGCTCCCCCTCGACCACAAGTTCTGAGATGACGAGGTTAGGATACTCTGGCGAAAGGACTGTCAGAAGATCATCTGAAAAAAATAAAACATGTTGTATTTAGTCACTGACAGGAAATCAATAACAAACCATTATTTTTTATTTTAATATAATGGCATGAATATATAGAGGCCTATTCCTTTTTTTGTAGAATATCTTACTCATGGCGTGAACGTAGCTGACATCATAGAGGAGGATGATGTGACTCTGCGTGTCAGGGTGGAGTTCTCTGAAGGCAGAAGCGCACTTCTCAAGATCCACCGGCCTTCTCTCAAAGACGTACATCAGGGGCAGCCTTTTAGACGGGCTGAGGCAAGCGCTGCCATAGTGCACAATGCAGTCGGCTCCGACATGCTCTGCAGCTACCTCATCCACACAGCAACTGCTCCAAGGAATTCATACAAAAATGATGAATGAAGAGAAAAAATTATAACTTCTTGGCTGTAAAGAGGCACAAGAGCTTTGAATAAATCAAAAATATGTGCTTAAACATGAAAAAGATGGTAATTTTCAAGTTCAACAAGCCACTGTACTTACACATACTATCACACATACTGATGACAAAAAAAATCAACAAAATAAAATAAATGAAACTGTCAAAAGATTACCAAATCCCTGTTACAAAGCCTTAATATAAAATATCACATGCTGGATCTAAATGTGAACATGTAAAGCAAGAAAAAGGCTGTGAAATGTGTCCGTCAGATACATCAGTAAGGTACCACTGGACCACTGACAGTATATAACACTGGACGCTGCTTCTTCCCCTCACATTGCATGAAGAACGCAAGCACTAAATATTATTCATGTAGCACGTGTGCATTATTAAACCAAGTAAGACGGGCGACCCATGTACTGAGGCTGAGTCCTTCCCACTCTCTCTACCCCCCTTTCCTGTCTACCTTTGGCTGTCCCTATCAAATAAAGGCAATAAAAAGGCAAAAAATAAACAAATAAAAACCAAGTAAGACACTTTTCTCAGTTAAACGTGGCGTGTTACCTGCCATAGGATGTGTCTCCCAGAATATATGTCTTGGCATTGCAGTTTCTCTCAATCTCCACAGCTACTGCAACTGAATCCACCAGCAGCTCATCAGGAAACTGCAGAGCAACCTGTGGACATTCAGACAAATACACTTCTCAAACAGCAATCTGGCATTCCTGCATCTAACTTTACTGAACAGCTAACCAAAGAGCTTTTGGACAAGAACTGTGTTGTTCTTCGGTCCTCCTGAATACCAATGGACTGATATGTTCACATGACTAAAAGTAAAAAATGATGTGCTCCTCACCTTTTCAAAATGACGCTCACTGATGAAGTCGCAAGTGCTCTTAATCTGATACAACTCTTCAAGTTTGTCCAGAGGGGTGTTTGTCTTCACTGATACGTCCACCACACGCTGAATTACCGTTTCCGAGCTGCTGCTGAACGCATCAGCCATGGCTGCAAAGGAAACACTCAACAGTGCCTGAAAGAAACACAATAAACTAGATTTATTCAGTACATCAGCTGGTGACAGTTAAGATGGTAAATTGAAATATAACTAACATCCCTAAAGAGTTATTCTGCCTGCAATAAAATACCACTGACTGAACTAACGTGAACTATATTCATCAACCAACTCAGACAACAGGGATTATTGTAACATTCATGAATGTCTGAATGTCTGAAGCGCCACTATGTAGTGTAGCCACTCACTTGATTACACTGTCAGTTACAAGTTGTGAGATATTGTCACACATGGTTTCAACCTATACCACCATGGTTACGTCTGCTAGCTTAGCCGCTAGCTGACTTGACTCCAGAGGTTTAGAAACCTGAGTCATTGTTACAAAATACCATTTACAGCTTATAGCGTTTTATTGTGGACTGGCACAAACAGGTAGACTTACGGTTCAGTGTCATGTGAGAAGTTGTTAATCGCTCTGACAGTTACACACGTGTAAGCGGTACAGCACACATTACTACAGCTGGCCACTCTTCTTCTTCGTTGGGTTGAATTGAGGTTGGCAAAGCAGCTTATCGGTGCATTACCGCCCCCTACTGGAGTGTGGAGCAGTAGGATAACAGGAAAACTACACTTAACAGGATAAAACAAAAGACAACATTATTTCTATTACTCCTGTCACTCTTTAGTAATTAATTTGAGGATGAATTTGTACTTTTCATGATGTCAGATTCTTCAGCGTAATATTGGGTTACTAGGACAAACACTTCAAAGGTTTTTCAAAATAAAAGCCGCTTGAGTGACATGCCTTGGGGGCTGTTCCTGGCATTATTTACCCCAAGACAATTCATATTTCTCCTCTGCTCCCCCATAACATCATCAAAAACTAACTCACATTTCCAGATCACTGAGTTGTGGAGCACACATAAGTCACATATTGTCATTATCAATGTATTTCGCAACCCTGGACATACTGCAAATCAACAAGTAAGTTGAGTAAGAGTAAGAGTTAAGCATATTGACATGACCATGACCAGTTCCCAACAACAATACTATCAAATATACACTGCACAAAATCATCCATACCAAGGGACACTTCATTTGTTTGCACAAGGTTTACATTGGTGCGCAATTAAATTTATTAAAATAACATCAATGAATCAATCCTGTTAAAACATTTGTGAAACAGCAAAGCAGAATGATAGATACAAGTTACATCTGCGATAATATAATGGTGTCATACTGACCCTTCTTTGATATTCTCTCCAGTATCTACAGCCTTATATATACATTTACAAAATAAATACATTTTTATATTAGAGTGTTTCTTTAGGGGGCAGTAAATTCCCATCTGAATAAAACTGGACTGTCCAAAACATTTAATAAGTACATTTATTAGCTATATTTCTGGCAGCTAGAAAATACCGATAGCAGCTAAAAAAAATATTGGCCTTAGTCCTGAGAGGGTTACATAATTTAACAGTCAAAATGTCTTTCTTTATAAAAACAATAAATGCAAAGTTTCCAACATTAAAAATGTTTGGTCTGTGACCCCTGTTACCAGGGGTTATATGAAAATCATAATCATAGCCCTGCTTACATCCAAATACGATAGAAACCCAAGACCACAGTGAGACAGGTGAACACTGAACCTAAAAGAGAAAAGATCAGAGGAGGTCAGTCACTGGCTTCAGATAGACTTTAATTTACTTCATTTGTATTCTGCCAACTGTTTAACAAATACTTTTCAACAGCTGATAATCAAATTTTCCCACAATTAAAGTTTAAACTAACTTAAAATTAGCATTTAAAAGTTTTAAGTGAATGATGTTTTAATTTTCACATTGCACCAGTTGTACCTACTATTGTTCCTTTGTGGCTACTGTGAGGGTTACACATCCTCTAAAATAAAGACTCTGAACAACTGACATTACAAAGTATATATTTATATATATATACACATATGTTTGAATTCTCAAAGCAATAAATTCTACATAACAACAACGCACGAGTGTGCATGTCCTACCTGCAAGGTATTTTATAGTATCCAGCTTATGAGACTCTAACATGGTTTTCAAACCAGCCACTTCAGTGTCTATCTTCATGTTGGTCTGAGTTAAATGACGATCATGCTCTGCAGTCTGTAAAAAAGGCAATTAGACAAAGGCATTAAAGATAAGCCTTATCAAAGACCTACCACATATTTATAACAGAGTGCAAAAGCTTCTATGGGCAGTGATCAGTGAGAGTCATTAGTAGAAATATAGTACTGGTGCCTTTTTTATGCTTCAATTTGTACTTTAATAAAGCAAAAATGAATGTAAGGAATAGTGTGCTGTGTTTTGCAGTATACTGTATAAGCATGTTCATCTAAAAGAACACAACTGTATCTACTGTATCACCATCTGTCCTGTGATTGTTGCTGCCATTTTATATTTAGTCATTAGATGCAGATTACCATGAACTAAATATTAGATGTGGTAAGATAGGAAACATGTGCTGTAGGTGTATTGCATCTATACAAACCATTTCCATAATGTTGTTTCGTGTTTCTAGAAGCTTCTTCTCATGCTCTGCTTTCTGAAAATGAAAAATAATGTTTTCTTTAGAAAATAAATACAAGGAAGAACGGTTTATGCAGTATACTCCAATAGCTTTCTAGTGACAGTAGAAAACCTTTCAGTATGTGTCTCCCTGTCCGACCTGTCTATAAAAACATCACTGATCTGCTTGGGAACAATTTGGGACTAGGATTCCCTCATTCCTCCTTCCCTAAAACATCATGTTTCAACAATTAAGTCATCTTTAATTTTAAGCAAATCTAAGTCAAGAAGAAAAAAAGACTACATTAAAAGTGCAGTCGACAGGTCTCCTAGCACTAATCTAATTTCCTCAAACACTTACCAATTCTTTTACCCGGCTTTTTTCCAAATTCAAGTCCAAAATATTGTCTGAGCGCACTTTATTCATGATATCCTGCAAAAGAGATACAGAAGTCACAACAAAACTCCCAGTTCATACAAAAACAAATGATTAAATTCTGCTATATCAATTTCACCAAGAAACTTGGACATAAACTGATTTGCATAAATCAGCATAACCACTTACAGCCAGTTGGACCTTGAGCTGCAACAACTGGGTCTTGAGTTTCTGTGAGAAATGTTAAAATATTTAAAATCTTCAGTCATATGAATCAAAAACAGAACAACATGGACGTGAATTCAGAGGCTACTGAGGTCACCTGATGTGCATAGATGCAACATTTGGGAAACAGCCTGTAGATAAACACACTAACCTCATTCTCTGCCAGTAAAGTCGAGAACTCGCTCTTCTCAAGGATGATCATGTCCTTCTTTACAGATGCTATTTGAGACATCACACGCTGCAACATGATCTCCTGCCAGAATCACACAATTATTACAAACGTTAAAAAGAAGAACTCATCTGGACACAAAAAAGGCGAAAGAAACAGAGAGTCTCACCTGCTGCACTTTGGTAACCATGTCACTATAGATGACCTCCATGTTAGAGTTTGTCATTCTCACCAGTATTTTAACCAACACCTCAGCTTGCTGAGTACTGAAGCCTGTTCATGGAAAACATTAATAACATTAATTCAATACAATCAACAGCTTCTTATTAACAAAGAAGTAAAGTAATATTTTGAAATGTTTCTGAAGTAACAAAAGAAGCCAAACCATTATCCTCAAAGAGTCGTACCACCGCATGTGTATCAAAAAACAGCCTCCCGCCCTCAGATCTGGGTCCACCTGGTTTCAGATCATACTGGAAGGCTTTCATGGAGGTACTCAGCCCTGAAATCAAAAAAAGATGGAAGTGATAATCCGAGAAATTAAACATTACCTGGAATTATACAGCTGCTATTTTCCCCTCCTTTCTTTTTTTGCAATATTGTATATTTTAATACTAATCATCCTTCTGTATTTATGTAACTTCTGTCTTCAGGTTTTTGTTAAGAGACAGAATTTAATGTAAATGGAACATTCTCTACATATGCTTATACAATAATATATTTGTGAAGTTACGCCTTATATATGCACACATTAACATAAAATGTTAATATCATGTATGTTGTATTAAGTGTAAACATTTTACAGTATCATGAGACATTTTCTCACATCCTTCTTACTGTTACAGATTTTACACTGTACTCAAATACTTCACTCTTTCAAACAGTACATATTGCATTGAGCTATGATCAGACATTTACTTAAAATGAGCAATTTCCTTTGATATTTTGGATATTCATAAACACTTATATATGAGTTGATTGCAGATACAGTAAGAGTCTCAGTCATGGACCTCAGGCATATTACAGGAATTAATTTACTCCTATGTTAGGCTATTCTATTGTTTCCAACATAAAGTCACTTCTTTTGCTGCTGCAATCCCAACATAATCAATATGACTTTGACTTGTCTTAGTAATGTTCCTGAACAATTCAAAGGAGAAAAACTGTCTGGGGAACTAATCACAATATCAAAATGATGTTCACTTCAACAATAACACCCATCCTATACAGATAGTTAACTTTAAGAAACATCCATATTCCAAATCACAACAATAAAACTGTGACATTCCTGGAAAAATAAGAGGCCATGCAGCATATTATGTAAATACATTGTGGGATGCGGGCAAAGGTTTCTTTTGCAAACATTTATCATCAGGGACTGGGTTTAGAAACAGTGAACTGGGACTGTAGAGGTTAGTAGTTAATGCAATCACTGCATACTGGTGCTTTTATTTTGATATCCGACAGGTGACAGTCTACATTTTATCCTAACTATAGACAGGAACTTAAAAGTATCGGTGAGGGATTTTAAAGGGCAGCTTTCAATGCACATACTAGGGCTATTATAGTTCATAAACGGGTTTAAAACAGAGTTATTTAACTTTAGTCATTAGTTAAGAGATCATAAGACGTTACCTCTGGCGGACATGTGTGTCACTGCAGGAGGATGAACGAGCTTCGGTCCATGAGGTCTTGTCTTGTTAAAAGGTGCAGGGCTGACACAGCGGACTGTCGGGGATGTGTCTGCTGTCAAACCCGGCGAGGTCAGTGGGGGAATGGTCGACGCAGAGCTGCTAACTTTGTCTTGGTGAAAAGAAAGGTCGTACCACTTTTCAGGGTGGTTCACACCAAACAGTTTAATTCGCGAGTGACACCGTTTAATAAGCGCCATTGTTCAAGCTACCAGACTGTACTTCCGTCTGTGGATATCCTGAGAATGCCTCTATTCTCTATGCATCGACACTTTCACCTACTCTTTACCGCCCCAACATCAAGAGCCAGAGACTGAAACCGGACACCTACAACTTCCGGTCGCACACTTCAAAATAAAGTTTATTGTACTGGGGTGGCAGCAGAAATCACACTGACTGGCTGGGAGATGTCAGATACTGTAAAACTCTTGCCACATTAAACAAATGGAAATATTTTTTGCTGGATAAGAGGTGTTGTAGTGATTATATTTTTCCTAATGCATTTAAAGCTGCAGTAGGTAACTTATAAAAATAGGAGATATAGGAAGACACATTGGGTTGGTGGCTGGAAGATAGCTGATTGTTGAGTCTCATTCCCAGTATTGGTATTTGACAACCTGGGAATGAGACTCGACTATCTTTCCTGGCTCTGATTGTTTTCATTCATTCAGCATTTTTGCAAATGCCATTAGGAGCACCAGGAGGAGCCAGAGGAACCTGATTATCTGTCTCATGTACTGCTGTCGGGATATAGTGAAAGTTTAGTTAAGTTAACGGAATTAAGTTATGCCTTGGTTTATTCTGCTATAATCACTGAACCACTCTTCAACACAAAATACAGTAACATTGCAAGTGTTCCTGTATTCACAAGTCAGAGAGACCAGCTCCTCTGGGTGCATTTAACCCTCTCGTTGACTGTTGACCATGGTAATACAGTATTTCACAAGCCATATAATCCTTACAGACTTTTTATTTTAGACTGTATTTAGCTGTTTGAAAGTTACACAACAGAGGAATGGGTACATTTGTACATTTCCTGTTTCTTTGCATACAAGGATTTAGTGCTTTAAGGTGCTGATAAATGAAAATGAGTGGGAAACAACACAGTGTCATATCAAAGTTGATACTTTTATGATGCATAATTATACATAGTAAGCTCTCTCTACAGCACAGATTGTATACACAAACACAACATTGAATGAAAAACAAGCTTCAGACATTGGAAGTGAATATTCTGCTTATTACAGTATATCGACTACAAAGCACCTATGTCTTCTCGATGGCAACAAGGAATAAAATGTGTCTGACATTTTTAAGATCAGAAATTGTTACTTTCACATTTCACAAACAAGTCAGGAGAATGTACTGTACGAAACAAAGGGAAAATACGAGCTCTATCTTTTTACGGTTGAGTAAGTTAAATCGACCACCTGTCCTATATTGTAATAATTATTCATTTCTTTTCAGTTCTAACTGTTTTTATTGTCACTTTGTTCAACAAAGATAGTTCAAAGTCTATGGCAGCTTTGGATTCACTGCCATAAATGGCAAACTGGTTTGCATCCAGATTTAATATTAGACAAAATGAAATGATGCACTAGCTGCTATTACGAAATGTAACCCTTTTGCAGTAGTTTTTTTTTTCTTTCTTAACAGTGTTACACATCATCATTGAGGCTTTACAGAAAAAAGTATGAGTGTATTAAGGACATACTCCTGCGAAAAGGGCAATAGAGAAAGAAAAAAAGCCTGCCACCAAAACAAGAGTAAACAGGAATAAGAACGCAAAGAATTGATTGCGCTGGCATAGAGGCTGCTGTCCAGGCTGCTCCTCATCAACAGAGAACACAGCCAGGGAGGCGCTGTCGGTGCTGCTGAGTGGGTCTGCATACTGTGGCCCATGGGGCTCCACCATCCAGCGCAACACGTTGACTTTCATCTCCATGTCATCGATCATGTGGTCAATTTGGCTGATCTCCTGCTCCAAGGTGCTGCGCTCCTGGCTCTCCAGGCCAGCGGGAAGGGTTGGGCTCTGTGCCTGGTCCAGATCTGGCAGACTGAGCGCCCGAGCTGCTACCTCACTGCCTCCTCCTGCATCCGCAACATACAAATTGGCACTTTAGTCTTGAAAAATGGAAAGGCAACACCATATATTGCAGACCCTACACTCAGACACAGTAATACATGCTCATAAAGGTTATAATGATTTAGAGAGGTGTTGATTCAGGCTACAGTCCGCGGTGCTGTTGAACTGTATTGCCTTGTACATTGAGGTGTACAGGTGCATCTCAATAAATTAGAATATCATGACAAAGTTCATTTAGTTCAGTAATTCAATTCAAAAAGTGGAACTCATATATTTATAGAGTCATCAAAAAACGACCTCAAAGGTTTCCCTGGGCCTTTAAATGGTCTTTCAATGCTCCAATGGTCTGGTTCAGTAGGCTACACAATCATGGGGAAGGACTGCTGTTTGACAGGTTGTCCAGAAGACAGTCATCGCCACCCTCCACAAGGAGGAAAGCCAAAAAGAGGTCATTGCTAAAGAAGCGGAATATCCAAGCATATTCATAGAAAGTTGGAGTGGGCAGAAAAAGGTATTGGTAGAAAAAGGTGCACAGGCAGCAGGATTACCGCAGCCTTGAGAGGAATTGGAAAGCAACACCCATTCCAAGAATTTTGGGGGGCATTCCAAGGGAGGGGACTGAGGCTGAGTCAGTGCATCAAGGAGGCCACCACCACACAGATGTATCCAGGACATGGGCTACAACTGTCGAAGCGTTCTTACCTGGGCTAAAGGAGAAAAAGGACTGGACTGTTGCTCAGTGATCCAAAGTCCCTTTTCAGATGAAAGTGTAGTTGCATTCATTTGGAATCAAGGGTCTTCCTCCAAAGTCTGGGGGGGGAAAAAGGAAGGGGGAAAAGGTTTTAAAAAGGTAGAGAATCCAAGTTGGCTTTTAGTCCAGTGTGAGTTTCCACAGTCAGTGATGATTTGGGGAGCCATGTCATCTGCTGGTGTTGGTCCACTGTGTTTTATCAAGTCCAAAGTCAACGCAGCCATCTACCAGGACATTTTAGAGCACTTCATGCTTCCTTTTGCTTGATAGCTTAATGGGAGATGGCTGATTTCATTTTTCCAGCAGGACTTGCACCCCACACTGCCAAAGGTACCAATACCTGGTTCAATGACCATGGTGTTACTGTGCTTGATTGGCCAGCAAACTCACCTGACCTGAACCCCATAGAGAATCTATGGGCTATTGTCAAGAGGAAGATGAGAGACACCAGACCCAACAATGCAGATGACCTGAAGGCCACTATCAAAGCAACCTGGACTTCCATAACACCTCAGCAGTGCCACAGGCTGATTGCCTCCATGCCACGCCGCATTGATGCAGTAATTCATGCAAAAGAAGCCCCGACCAAGTATTGAGGAGTGTGAAGAATGTGGCACGTAAATGTAAAAGCGCTTTGAGTGGTCGGAAGACTAGAAAGGCACTATACAAGTACAGGTACATTTACCAATTACCATATAATATATGAGTTTTAATTTTTGAATTGAATTATTAAATAAATTAACTTTTCCACAATATTCTAATTTAATAAGATGCACCTGTATCACTAGCCCCACAAACAAAAAGGTAGATAATCCCCCTTGTGTGTAACTGACAGCTATTTACAGCCACACAAAAAACAGTCATACCCCCTTTCCACCTAGTGCTAGTTCTGAGCTGGTGCTAGTGCCGTTTCGGGGTTGGTTAGAGCCACATCATTACGTCACTATGCATCCAATGTTAGCTCATGTTACCAAGGTTAGCTGGCCAGATATTACCCAAGCAAGCATAGTAACTTGTTTCTCACATCAATGTTACATACATTGAACTTAAAATAAATGTTTGTGAAAAATTAGTAGATATAAGTGTGTGTGTATATAAGTGTGTTTGTAAAGGGGAGACTTGTGGGAATCCATAGAACCCATTTTCTGGCAGTCAAGGGTCAATGGACCCCTTTAAAAATGGCCATTGCATTGCCTCACAAAATAATTTGGCTTATTTTGTTCAATGAAAGTAATTTTGCTAAAAAACTCTCAAAGTAAGGTAGGTAAGTTTTGTTTTGATATTGGAAAAAAACCTCAGGTATTGTAGCAGGTATTGTACCTGCATTTGGATCAAACAATACCCAGCCTTATTCTCAAGACAAAATGAACATTTGTCAGTAAATCTGACAGTTCTGGTACTTGTGAAAGTGTCTTAGTAAGGTGTCTTTCCAACTTGAGAGTCCAGAACAGCTTCAGTGCTCCTTTTCATAGATTCTCCAAGTGTGTGGAACAGGACTAGATGAATGAACAACATTCTTAAAAAACATATTGCCTCAATATGATGGTGGTGGACCTAAACTGTTACTTCACGACTACTTGGGTTGAAATCTGGTGACTCATGATTTACATGATTTTCAACTTCATTCAATGCATTCATGTCAGTTAATGTGGGTTGTAACACCAATGTAAAGGAACAGAATAGAACAGAATCTAAATTTCAGACCTCTCCTGTCCTGCGGTAAGATTGCTCTCTGTAGAGATAGATGAACATGCACTCTTTACAAACACTAAATAAGTTTGTTGCTTTGCTCTTGCTGAAACAAACAGATCACTACAGAAGACGGTCTCAGTTGTTATCTGTCTACCTTGGCATTGACTCCAGGCCTTGCTGGCTACCCTCCAAACTGGGCTTAATGAATTACAGCTGCAACAATCCCAAAAAATCCTGAAAGCCCCATGTGCATTCATTCATTGTCTTGATTACATGGCATCTAAACAACATATTACTTCATCTTGATGTATGATTTGCTCAGTTTGTTCAGCGGTTCATTTGGAAGAGAAGGGGTTGGGAGCCCCAATAGCTGAATGGGCATCTTTCTTCTGACTGATAAGACTGCTCAGCTGCAAGGAAACGACTGATCCTTCAATCAGGCAAAAAGGTACAGAGGCCGTATCGCTACGAAGCTGTTATAGAGCTGGAGTTAAAAGAATCAGTCACCCCACCGGTGATACATGAAGACCCAGAGAGAGAGGATTAGAAGAGAGAGCGATAAAAAAAAGAAAGAGCAGGGCTGTTGTCCAAAATCACTCCCTTTTTTCTATGTACAGTACACTACATTGTCTTCCATTTTATTTGAGAGTAGCGGTCACAGCTGTGCCAATAGTCTTCACTTTGTAGAACAGTCAAATCACACTGCTTCATATTCTGTTCATCTCATTCTTGGGCCTGACTTTATTCAATTTGTGAACTGAAAATGGTACATTCAATCAATGACTAATCATCATAATTAATCTGGAAAATATATGCTTCATTAGCGCTGTCCATGAATGAGTTTCCTCTCTAAAACGGCATGCACTCCAGCTGTTGCTTCATTATTTGCCTTTACCTCCTGGGTGACGGCAGACACGCCATTCATTCCTCAGACTAGCATCTCATTTTACTCTATATGCTGACAAAATAGCTTCAAAAACATGTTATGTATGCTACGTTGTGTTCTGTTCAATTTTTTTCTCTCAGTGTGGTCCAATTGCTGCAGCTCTAGAAATGCCCAGGATATCAGACATCTTTATATCATTGAGATGAAATGGGGCCAGTATATTAAAGGGCTGCTTCATACAAAGAACAATGTTGCTGTTTTTACCTGCAGTGTAATACTGGCACATTCATTTGGAACGGCAAACAAACACATGCATCACAGATGTCCAGTAATATTGTTTGGTTACTATAAATCGCAATAATTGCTAGAATGGAGCCATCATTAATGTTATTAGTTCAACATGTTCTTATCCTTCAACGACAAATTAAATAAAATGGTGTCTGGTGAGATTCATAATCTTATTTACTTATTATTGATTCCTGGCTTGAATCAATTAAATATCATGTTGATTATTTAAGGCAATGCAAAAACACAGCAATTAAGTGTGTAATATGATCAGTTTTGAATTGTATAATATGCACTAGATACACACTGAGCTCAGTAGCATTGCAGAAACTCTACAACCTCTTCAGGGCACATCAGGTAATGAAGAGTAGCAAACAAAGAAAGGATAAAAGACAGCAGTGAGACTTCTGTAGAAGAATAACTTGGCCAGGGTTTTAATTCATACAGAACCAATAAGGAGCCACTGAAAGCCATCTCAACACAGAAAACACATCCACAGACACCTACACACAGGCTCTACCTGTCCAGCTATTTCAGGAACTTCTATGTTTTAATCCAGCATTCAATGTTCCTTGAACTGTGTTTAAAAGAGACCACAGGAAACATTCAAATGGTCCATCTGTTTGAAAGAGCTTGACATCACATGTCACAGAAATCCTGATTTTCTTTTTCCTCCATTTTTAAATTTTATTTATTATTTTTTATCTGTGGTAATAGTGAGAGGATAAAATTAAGATTTAGTGTTTTGGGTTTAAATGTCAAGTAATTGTGAAATGTTGATTAAGAAGAATGAATACATTATGTGTGATAGTGATGGATGTATTGCAGCAAGCCTGCTATTGGCAAGGATTGAAGTAATATGGGCATGCCAACCCATTCTCACTCCCAACTCATTAAATATGACCGCTTGGTCAGTGGCCCTATGCTTCAAACTATGACGTTGTAGATATCCCTCCAGTGTCATTTCTGGAAGCGCAGGGCTCCGTAGTCAAGTTAGCAAGAATAAATATCAAGTTAGACTGTATAAGTGAAGCTTGCGTGGTTATTGTGTTAATGTTAATGTGAAGCGGTCACAGTTTGGTTAGATTTAGGCACAAAAACTACTTAAATAGTTAGGTTTGGGAAACGCTTCTGTCAGGTATGAAACGTAAGTGCATTACGTAAGTTTTTTAAATTTATGTACGTAACTTTAATGAAGTCAACACTGACTTTCAACGTTGAGCTCCAAATGTGAACTTTCTCGCTCTTTATACCACATCACACTGACTTTGACGGCGCATCATAACATGGTAAATGGTAAATGGACCTGTACCTATATAGTGCCTTTCTAGTCTTCCGACCACTCAAAGCGCTTTTACATTTTGTGCCACATTCGCCCTTTCTCAAACATTCACACCGCGATGGCAATGCCCATCGAACAGAAACTACCTCACTCATACACATTCACACACTGATTTTTATTATTTTTTATCTCCATCTTGTTTTATTTAACATTTTCTATTTAATTGTTTTAGTTTAATTTGTCCAGATTGTTAGTTGTTATACTTGTATATTTGTTGAACAGGCTGGGAAATGGCAGAAACCACTTGCACTTTTGCACTTTTATTTGGAGACAGTGACACTCAAGCCTGATGTTTATTCTTGATGCTGATAGTGCTTAGGGAGGACTTTTCTTTAAATGTCAAACTGTGTTTTCCTATTTGAGTGAGAGCATGGCTTCATGTTATTAGTTTTGAAGTACCTGCATGTGTGTGTATATATGTCTGTGTGTATGCCCTCAGGCAGCCACAGGAGACATTGCATAGTGAAAATGGCTTTTTTAGTTCATCTGTGTACAGAAATATCAAATATCTGTTGTGAACTCTGTGTGAAGGTTGTGAAAACCTGCCTTTGTCCATCGGTCCCTTCTCTGTTTTTCCCCCTCTTCTCAATAATAGCAGTGTCACAAGTAGAGCACACAGACCTCAGGGAGCACACAGCGTGTGTGTGCTTATGTCTGCGTTGGTACATACGTGTCATTTAGACTCCATTAACCTCAACCAGCTGGAAGTCATATGGGATTTGGGGAGTGTGTCCTAAAAACAGAACACAAAGAAAAGGCAGAGGAAGAATGGCCCATTTCCACCGTGATTTCTGGCCTATTACTTAAATTATTGCTGGGCTGCGCGTGGAGTTCTCTGTGTGTGTGTGTTGACCCTTGGGCATGGCATACTGACCCTCTATATGAGCTGCCATTGTCTGCAAAACCTTAAGTCCACTATGCAGTAGGAGGAAAAACAAGTCTTTCATGGTCCCTGTAGTCTTCTTCAATAGAAACCTGTATATAAAGCCTGTACTTGTATTCCTTCCTTAGAAACTGAAGGGATAAAGGGCTTGGTTAAGTATTATAATTTGCTGTAACTAAACACACTAGAAGTAAACAGCCATTGACGTCAGTAGCAGATTAACATCCTTTTACAATGCAGTAAACATTTTTCAGTTGAAAAGATGTTAAAAAATGGTCACTAGGACTGCACGAAATGGTAAAAGAAAATCATATTGCCATTAATTTGATACACATTGTGATTGCAATATAATTCATGATTAGTGGGAATGATCATTTTTGTATCACAATTATAATTTTTACAAAAAAAAACCTATTGAAATCATGATGCTGTGACATCACAATTTTACTTTTGGAGAACAAGATTTGTAGGCCAGGAAATCTCTGCAACGGTACAGTACTTCATTATAATCCTATTTTGTCACACATTTTACCTTTATCAAAACATATAGCGATTTCGATAATATGATTAATTGTGCAGCCCTAAAGGTGAAAACCCGAACCAAGTTGGTTCAGAAGTAAAAGTTTCATAGATTATTTGAAGACGTTGAGCGAAGATTCACATTTATATCATATTTCACCAGGATTTGAAATAGTGAAAGTTTTCATCCTCTCCAAAATCATAGCCTGTCGTCACTTTGGAGCCTAAAACCACATTTGAAACCACATCTGAATTTCCCATTATATATCCCAGTATAGATTTCAAAACACACCTTGTACAGGAGTCAAACCACAAGTTAAAAGGAGAAAAAGGACTGGACTGTTGCTCAGTGGTCCAAAGTCCTCTTTTCAGATGAAAGTGAAGTTTGCATTTCATTTGGAAATCAAGGTCCCAGAGTCTGGAGGAAGAGTCTTTGAAAGAAGAAGTGGAAAGAAGGGCAACCAGAAATCCCGTTGCTTTTAGTCCAGTTTTGAAGTTCCAACAGGTCAGTGATGATTTGGGAGCCATGTTCATCTTGCAGGTGTTTTGGCGTCCACGTTGTTATTTCCAAGTCAAAGTCAAACGGGGCAAAGCCATTTTCCCAGGGACATTTTAGAGACTCCATTGTTCTTTCTGCTGATTAAACTTTATGGAGATGGCTGATTTCATTTTCCAGGCAAGGAACCTTTAGCAAACCTTGCCCCAACACTGCCAAAAAAGTACCAATTGGTCAGGAACCCATTGTTAACGGCTTGAATTGGGCCAGCAAACTCATAGAGAATCTATGGGCTGTTGTCAAGAGGAAGATGAGAGATCCAACAATGCAGACCCAACAATGCAGACAAGCTGAAGGCCGCTATCAAAGCAACCTGGACTTCCATAACACCTCAGCAGTGCCACAGGCTGATTTACTTTGTACTTTGGAGATTGTGAAGGGTGTTTTTCACTATTTTCTGACTAAACATTTAATCAGTTAATTTGTTTCAGCCCTGCTTATTTGGGAAAATTTGGGAACATAAACATTTATTTATCTGTTGTACACATCCATAAGACAGTACAACTTTGATCCAAGAAGCCTGTCCACAAAAATTTGGCACATTTCAATCACTTTCAGTTTTACCTCTAAGTGAAGTGGCTTAGATCATTTGGCTGCAACAGAAAAATACTGTGCCTGAATTCAAACTGCCCTTTTTGTCAATACAATTCCTAATTATTGAATCAATATCCAGTAAGTGTATCCATATGCATCAGCAGCCATTCACTTATACATATTAATGGTGCGTAAAGCCATAAAAGACATGATCGGAAAACTTGGTTACAGCAGGAGCTAAGCGGTAAACTGGTGGAAAACTGTCACTCCTGAATCCAAAGTATAAACTGC